ATTACAAATTTTTTCCAGAGACATTTTTCTTAGATTACAAACTCAGAATACAATACCTGAAGAGTATGAAAGTTTAAAAAACTGTTTTCTAAAACAATAAACTTTACTATATTTTTAAGGTTTTTTGTTTCACATGCTTTCTTTTTTACTAAAACCTCTGTAAAACATGATATATGAAATGTATAACTGAGAGAAAGTAGCAGTCATTTTACTTCAGAGTGTATTGGAGTTCAGAACATTAAAGCTCTTTACTCTTCATATTCGCTAAAAAGCAAGAGCTTACCAAAAACAAACAAAAGAGTCTCCAGTGCTGAGATATTTACAGAAACCATTTTAAAAGAAAGAGTAAGCTGTAGTCCCTTGCAATGAGGGAGAAGATACTTTGAAGCAAGGTAACTTTTGTTCTTTGCTAATAATATAATGTCACGGGGGAAAAGGAACACCAGGTAACATGACATGCTTGAGCTGACTTTCTTAAGTGACCAAAAATGTGGGACAGGCTGCGTTAGGTAATGACTGTGCACACATGCACACATATGCGTGTGCACACACAGACACACACAGAGTTAACACAGTATAGGGGGACGATCACTTCTCTGGCCCTGCTAGCTATGCTATTTTTGATAAAAGCCAGGATGCCATTAGCTTTGTTGGCTGCCTGGGCACAAGCTGGCTGACCAACACCCCCAGGTCATTTTCCACTGGGCAGCTTTCCAGCCACCTTTCCCTAAATCTGTAATGTTGCATAGGGTTGTTGTGGCCCAAGTGCAGGACCTGGCACTTTGCCTTGTTGAATCTCATACCATTGGCCACAGCCCATTGATCCAGCCTGTCCAGATCCCTCTGCAGAGCCTTCCTACCCTCCACCAGATCAACACTCCCAGCCAAATTGGTGTCATCCACAAATGTACTGAGGGTGCACTCAATCTCTTCATCCAGATAATCAGTGAAGACAGTAATCAGAACTGGCCCTAATACCAAGCCCTGAGGGACACCATTAGTGACCAGTCACCAACTAGATGTGACCCATTTGCCACCAGTCTTTGGGCTTTGCCATCCAGCCAGTTTTCAACCCGGTGATGAATTATCCTATCCAGGCCATGAGACCCCAGTTTCTCCAGGAGAACACTGTGGGAGATGGTGTCAAAGGCTTTACTTAAGTCGGGCGGGTCAGCTTATCGTAGAAGGAGATCAGTTTGGTCAAGCAGGACCTGCCCTTCATGACCCCATGCTGACTGGGCCTGATCTCTCCATTGTCCCACACGTGCTTTATGATGTCACTTAGGATCATCTGCTCTAGGGCCTTCCCCGGCACTGGGGTCAGGGTGACAGGCCTGTAGTTCTCGGGGTCTTCCTTCCTGCCCTTTTTGTAGTTAAGCATCACATTGGCCGCCTTCCAATTCTCTGGGACCTGCCCAGTAGACCAGGACTGCTGATAAGACGATGGAGAGTGGCTTAGCAAGGTCCTCTGCCAGCTGCTTCAGCACTCCTCGGTGTAACCCATGCAGCCCCATAGACTTGTATACATCTAAGTGGAGCAGGAGATCACTGTTTCCTCCTAGTTTCTGTGGACTCAATCAACTAAAATACATAGTAATATGGAGTATTTTCACACTGATTCTGTGCCAGAAAATTGAAACTGCAGAAAAAGCAACACTCTCCAGCTGCTCCATGGCGGTGTCTTCATGGGGGCTTAGCAGGAAGTGTTTTATTCATTCCATCTGGGGTCCTCTGATTCTGCGTGGTGCCAAATGTCCACGTACCAGCTTTCCCAAACTCTATTACGCCATCTGAAACTGATACACAACGATATTGCACTAGGCCTTTCCAGCAGTTTCAGGTGCTCTTTTCCTGCCACTTGTTGATAATCCCCCTCAGTTCTTGCCTGCTTGCTTGCCTGTCAGCCATGGGTAATATTACTTAGTAACTTACTTATAATCAGGGCAAAAGTTGTGATACTTTAGCAGCAAATAAAAAAAATTTTGGAGACAAAAATGCCAAATTAAACATTTGGGAAGGAATGAAAGCTTAAATAGCCTCCTACCAAAACTGCTCTTCCCCTTCTTCAGACCAGCTCCACCAGCCCCCCGCTAGAACTGGCCTACAAACGTGGGTCCCAAGTCATGTGTAGCTTTCCTGGGTTTAGCAGTGGCAGTCATTTTTCTCTTTCTTGGTAGCTGGTGCAGTGCTGTGTTTTGACTTTCAGCTGGGAACAGAGCTGAAAAACAATGATGTTTTGGTTTGGCCAAGGACTTTGTGAGCCTCATGCTCTGCCAGGGAGGAGGGGAAGCCGGGAGGAAGCAGAGACAGGACACCTGACCCAAACTGACCACAGAGGTATCCCATACCACAGCACGTCATGCCCAGGGGGTAACTGGGAGGTCCCCGGGTGGGGCTAGGTGGACTGCAGGGTTGGAGGAGGTATCGGTCGGTGCTTGGTCGGGCTGGGGGGAGCAAGTTATCGGTCGCCTGGTGATGGGGTGTTGTATTCTCTTCCCTTGTTATTTCCTTTATCATTACTATTATTGGTGGTAGCAGTAGTGATTTGTGTTATACCTTAGTTACTAAACTGTTCTTATCTCAACCCGTGGGAGTTGCATTCTTTTTTATTCTCCTCTCCGGCCCTCCGAGAGTAGGGGGAGGGCAAGAAGGGGGGGGGAGTGAGTGAGTGAAAGCTGTCTGGTTGTGGTGAAACCACGACAGTTCTTTTTGGCGCCCAACGTGGGGCCCGAGAGGTTGAGATAACGACAGATCTGACCGTCACAATGCTGATTTACTGGATATCAGAGATTCAGAATGTTGTAACTTACTTGGAGCCGGTATTTGCTGTGTTAGTGTTTATCAACTGTGGGGCTTGGGCTAAAGTTCCTGTCTCACTGTACCTTATGGCAATGACTTGTAATACGGGCGAGCTCCAGCAGCAGGGCGGGACAGCCGTGGCCGTGGACTGGTCCCTGGCCGTCCGGCTGCTCCTCACCGTCCTGGCCCTCGCCCTCACCTCCGTCTGCGTGAGGCTCTGGGGAGCCGAGGGGGGGCGGCCCCGGGAGCCGGCGGCTGCTGAAGCGGCCCGGGAGAGCGGCCCCGGGCACCAAGCGGGAGCGGGACCGGAGGCCGCGAGGGGACGGCTGCCGGTGGAGGAGGTCGGGGAGGTCGAGGAGCGGGAGGAGGCGGCTGCCGAGCAGCGGGAGAAGGCGGCGGAGGAGCCGAGCACCGCAGAGGAGCCGAGCCCCGCGGCCGAGCCCAGACCCGCGACGGCCGAGAGCATTCCCCGGAAGCCTCCCGCCGAGCCCCAGGAGGACGCAGGAGACCCCGCAGCATTTCCCAGCAAGGCAGAGGAGGAAGAGCTGGACTCAGGAAAAGAGAAGCTGGTGGTGGGAGAGCCGGCAAGCACAGCAGCTACACCAGCCCCAGTGACAAGCACAGCAGCTGCACCAGCCCCAGTGACAAGTACAGCAGCATTGTTTGAGAGTTCTGAAGGTTTTGAATGGCCTTTGGGTACCCTTGGGACCTGCCTGCTGATTGTGATGGTGTTCACTATGTTGGCACATATGCAGAGTGTGTTTTACCCACCACCATTGTGTATGATCCCAGAATTTAAGCAGAGTCGGGTGTGGGTCTTGTCTGGGGTTAGACAACAATATAGGAGGACCAAGAGATTTCCCCCAAGGCTGGAGAGTCATGAGTGGCAGGGCATGTGGGACAGTATGGGCAAGTATCTAGTCCACTGGGCCCCTCCAGTGCTTTGGAAGCATTGGAGATGGAAGGACAGTGAATTATTTTGAGCCTGGTGGGCCCATGACCCTTAAGGCCAACAGAGCAGAGATGCAACATAGAGATGGACTCATGATCGAGGGGTGGACTTAGCAATGGACACTATTGCCCATGTTATTCATGTGTGTGAGCACTGCACATAGCCTCTCGTGCTCTGAAAGACTGTTACAAGAGGTGGAGCCTGACATCATGGACCAGATGCACTCAGCAGCTTTATAGGGACTGGTCCATGCACTGCGATGAGAGTGCACTTAGATAAGAGTGATGGTATATTGAAAATGTGGGATCTGAGCATGACGTGAATGGTATGGAATAAGGGGTGGATAATGTCCTGGGTTTAGCAGTGGCAGTCATTTTTCTCTTTCTTGGTAGCTGGTGCAGTGCTGTGTTTTGACTTTCAGCTGGGAACAGAGCTGAAAAACAATGATGTTTTGGTTTGGCCAAGGACTTTGTGAGCCTCATGCTGTGCCAGGGAGGAGGGGAAGCCGGGAGGAAGCAGAGACAGGACACCTGACCCAAACTGACCACAGAGGTATCCCATACCACAGCACGTCATGCCCAGGGGGTAACTGGGAGGTCCCCGGGAGGGGCTAGGTGGACTGCAGGGTTGGAGTAGGTATCGGTCGGTGCTTGGTCGGGCTGGGGGGAGCAAGTTATCGGTTGCCTGGTGATGGGGTGTTGTATTCTCTTCCCTTGTTATTTCCTTTATCATTACTATTATTGGTGGTAGCAGGAGTGATTTGTGTTATACCTTAGTTACTAAACTGTTCTTATCTCAACCCGTGGGAGTTGCATTCTTTTTTATTCTCCTCTCCGGCCCTCCGAGAGTAGGGGGAGGGCAAGAAGGGGGGGGGGGAGTGAGTGAGTGAAAGCTGTCTGGTTGTGGTGAAACCACGACAGTAGCTAGTTCTCCCAAGAGCTTCCTGAGGGGGCCTATGTTCTCCCTAGTCTGTTTTATATTTGCTCCAGTCTCTTTGCCATCTTACTGGCTCATTGTTGAACTCTTTTCAGTAGCTCTGCAGCCTTCTTGTACTGCGGAGTGGAGAACTGGGCACAGTTCTCTAGGAACTGGAATCCTGTTCCACAACACTGGATCCACTGCACACCTCTAGGGTACATCTTGCCCCAGGAAGGTGTAGGATATGCAAAACACACCACCAAGTGAGCTGTGGAGTCTTTCTCCACACCCCCCAGACACTGCACCCACCCTATCACTTCATCGAACATCGCACTATGACATCACAACACGCAGGGGGAGAGTCTGTGAGGTTGGGCACTGTGGGCGTGGTGGAACTCACAGGGTTCTGGGGGCTGAGTGCCACTGGCAAGCAAGCTCTTGGCTGTCTTCAGGAGCTCGTCTGCCCACACAGACGAACTCTTGCAGCTTGCAGAAGCTGTAATTTCTCACCAGGATGGCGCAGAGGAGGGCTCGTTCACCAGCACGGGTGTCTGCCCGGGCAGGGAGAACAGCTAGCCGCAGCAGGCAAAGTTGTTCGAAGGCTCGGGGCACCCAACGGCAGAGGTCTGCCCACCGCACTGCTGCGGAAAATGAGGGTGAGTTCAGCGCTGCCTTTCACCCTGTGTTTGCACCAAGCCTGCCCGACTTGGCCAGGCCCAACAGCGCTGCAGAAGCAGCACCATCCTCCTGCCTGGGCCCACTGTGGCTATGTGACGATGAAGGAGCTGGGATACTGTAGTTCCTAGGGGGCACCCCAGGACTTGTGCCACCCTCCCTCCCCAAATACGGCGCATGTACCCTGCCTGCGAGGGGATCCTGCCTGGCCTTCCATTCCACACTCTCAGCTTCCCCTCTATAGGCCATAGCTACAGCCCTTGCCCCATCCCCAGAGAGGGACTGCACAGGAGCAGCACCCACCTGCCTGCAGCTATCTGGCATGTACTCAAAGAGGATCCTGAGACTTTTCTCTGATTTCTTTGCCCAGGGTTGCTCTGCAGGGTGGTATCGGCCATGGTCTTCCTGCAGAGGTGCATTTGCTCAGGAATTTCCACCATGTGAGTACAGCACGTGCTCAGTAACATCACAGGGACAAGAAGCGCGGAGCGCTCAGGGCAAGCGTAGGGAGGCTGGTGGAGGGGGGTGGGGCTGGTCGTGCTCCCCACCAGGAGCTTTCTGGCTACTTCAGGATTACTGCTCCTCAGCTTGTAAGACAAAATCCCCCATGTGCAGGGCTCTGCCCTGGATCATTGCTGCCAGCCCAACTCCCTCTTTTCCAGGAAAGGGCTCATCACCTTGGTAAAGAGGAGGATCTTCACAATCCTCTTCCTGATGATCCTAGGGGCTTTTGGTGAGTATCTGCCTGTTGCCAGTGGAGGCACGGGGGCAGGAATGCGAGCTTCAGAGTGAGAGAGAGGTGCTGGTGGGGCCCTTCCAACTCCTCCATGTCTGAATGTTAGGGAGCTTCTGAGATGTCCATGATGCAACCAGCCCGAGAGCCAGCAGCAGAAACGGGTGCAGATTCTATGATGCTCACCACAGATGGGAGGGGAAAGGGTTTGTAGCTCTGGGGCTCCAAGCACACCTGGAAACCAGGAGTGTGCAGAGCCCTCCAGCATGGGGAGAGGGTCCCCACTTGGAGTGACAGCCGTTCTCTGCATCCCCATGTCCTCAGCCAGCCTCTTGCCACCCTGCTGTGGGAGGAGACCGTGTGACTACAGGGATCATTAGAAACCCTGATAAAATATCTCTTTTGGTGACGTGAACTACAGGTGCTGCCTTCGGTGGGACCTCCATGGTGGTACGGATGCTGTGGACAGCGGGTGTGCCACAGGTCAGTGATTGCAGTTGTGGGACCGGAAAGTCCCACAAAGGAGCACTGGTGGAGGTGGGTGCATGGGTAAATAGCCCAGTCCCTCCAGTTCTAGGCAGTGACACAGAGAATCAGCCGTAGCTTCTGCCGTGACTCTGGAAGGCCCTAGCAGTTCTGGCACTCAAGAGCCTTTTCCTTTCAGGTGCTGCTGGGGGAGCCTGCAGCTGACCTGGAGTCCCTGCGGTAAGAGCCCTCTCCTCTCGCCTGACCTGCATGCAACACGTTTCATGGGGTAGTGGCAGATGAGCTCCTGCTATTTGCATTCACTTTCGTAGTGCCCAAAGCTTGTATCTTGTGCTCCTGCCTGGGCCTTTTGCTAAACCTGGAGGGGAAGGAAGTGTTCACAAGCCAGGGAAAGAGAAAAAGAGGCTGGAGCTTTGCTGCCTCTGTTCCTCCCAAGCTTGGAGGCTTTGGGAGGGGCTGGGCAACTCTCTGACAAGATCTGCTTTCCTGCTGACTGCAGAAATACACTTGCTCTGTCCTGGAAAAAAATGGAAAACTTGCAGCATCTGAGAGATGAACTGGCAAGCCTGGCTGCAGAGATCGACGCTGTGAAGAAGGTGATCCTGTACTTTGGGAAACAGGGCCGGGCCCTGTCTGGGCAGCTGGTGGGCTTTTGTGGCTCAGCCCACACACCCCATCCGTTGCCAGGGGATGCTGGTCATGCTTCTCCACCGTAAAGCCCCTTCTGGCCAGCTTGTGACGTGGTTGTTCGTGTTTTTCCCAGGAAGCTCAGCAAATGAGAGAAGCAATGTCTGCGATCACACAGATGTCTGGCTGGGCTGTGAAAAACGCAGGTACAGGAAGGCAGGGCTGTCATCGCACTGAGCTTCTGCTTAGCGCTCCCAAAAGGAGGCTGTGAGGCAGCCTCAGCTCTCTGAGGCACAGGGACATGGAACAAAACCACGGCATGCAAGAGCATGACTGCGACTGAGCAAGTCTCATGGGGTTTGCTGTCTCCCAGCACTCACAGACCTCCTGTTGTGTGTCTGAGAGAGAAATGCTGTCACCGGGCATGGGGTTCACCTTCTTTTCCTGGTGCACCCACAAAGGTGTGGTGCTGCATATGGAGGCTGGCAGGCATCCTTGGAAATAGCCTGCAGCCACCAGGTCCTTGGCACATGGAGCCTCTTGCACTCTCTTTTCCCTCCAGGGACTGCCATCAACCTGCAGAGATCATCCAGCAGCTCTCCATGGCTCTACAGGCTGTTTTGGTTCCTGTGGATTCCACCCATTCAGGAAACCTTTGTGCAGGTAGAGTAGCAGAAACTGTCAGTGCTGCTTCTCTTGCCTCTTACAAAGTTGGTTGCAAGCCCTGGGCTATCTCCCCTCAAGCCAGTGGTGTTGCTGAAGGGCATGGCATGGGTCCGGTCCCTGACACCTGAGGTCTCACAGAGGGCTTGGATCCCTCCAGTTTTGGAGGCAGTGGCCACAGAAGTGACTGTGCTGACCCAAGCTTCTTGCTCACCATCCCAGGTCACCTCTGTGTATTTCCCCATTTCCCTGCCACAGCTTGACTGTCCCTCTCCTGACTGGACAGTGAAGGGTGGGGAGAGGCTTCGGAGCTGCTGTGCAAAAAGACAGGTTTCTTTAAAGGCCTGACTCAGGTGCAGGTATCAGACGTTTCCCACTGACAGGCTATTTTCCTTTTTCCCCGGTTAGGAAGATTTATGGGGAAGTGGACAAACGCCATTCGTTTTGAGATTTTCCCACAGGTGCAGTGCCGCCTATGGTTCTGGCTGCACAGGAGAGCAGTGGGCCACATCATGCTCTCACTTTCATCGATCTTGTCGTCCGCTTTCAGCCTGATTCTTCCCCGGGATACTGCTGGCCTTTCCAAGGGTCTCAGAGTGAGGTGCTAATCCAGTTGCCTGCAAAGATACGACCAACAGCCATCACCATACAGCACACCTTAAAGGCAGACTCTCCGCTGAGGACTATCAGCAGTGCCCCGCGAGATTTCACCGTCTCTGTGAGTCTGCTGAGCACTAGGGGCTGGGACCCGGCTATGTGGGAGAGCTGTAACAGGGACTTGCTGGTCTCCGCGCACCTGCTGATATTCTTGTGCTCCCAAGCACTGCCATCCTCTGAGGGGACATTTCAAGGGACATGTGGAATGGTGTCACCCCACGCCTTGCTCAGTGCATTTTGGCCCGGCACCTCTAGGCTCTTGAGTAACACGTGACAGGGAGACTCAGTCCCACTGCATCCTGCACCAGACTGTGCGGGAGCTGCAGGAGCTGGAGGGAAACCACATTCCCAGATCTGGCACGAGCGTTTCCTCATGGCTATGTTGAGCCTGAACTGCTCCCGTGTGCTTTATCTCCAAGGGACTGGATGAAGAAGGCAAAGATGAAACTCTGCTTGGGACATTCACCTACGCCGCACAGGAAGAGGTTATCCAGACCTTCCCTTTGCAGGTACAGTGCAGCAGAATTTTCCCCAGGACCCGTTTTCTGAGGCCATCAAGCCTCAGGTTTCCAGAGCTGCCTGCCTCGCTCTCTGAGGCCAGGCTTCTGAGCTGCAGGGGCACAGGGGTCCTTTGGTGCGAGGGTGGGAGAGGGGAAGAAGGGAGAAACTGCCACCTCAGCCAGTGCAGAAGCTGGTCCTGGAGCCACACCTGGCTGGCAGAGGAAAACGGGCGGAGCCTGCTTTCACTCCCAACCCCCCAGGAGTGACCCTGGGTTCTTTGCAGGATAAGATGAGAGATTTCCGTTTCTTGAACCTCGTTGTACAGAGCAACTGGGGAAAACCAGGGTACACCTGTATTTACCGAGTGCAGGTGCACGGGAAGGTGGATGGAACCAGTGCTGACAGCCAGATTTCAGATGTGAAGAATTCACTTCAGTAAGAATTAAAGAGGAAAATGGAGAAACGAGGAGAGTGATTGGCTGTTACTCTGGGGCACAGCAATGTCGTTTCAGTGGCCTGCTCACAGCTGCCAGCTACTGCCTTTCACAGGCCAAGGCCATCCTCAAGCATCTCTCCGATACATCCATGCATGTCTTTTACTGAGGAACCCAGAACTGGGCACAGGACTCCACATGTAGCTTTACCAGTGCTGAGTAGAGGTGAAGGGTCACCTCTCTCGGCCTGCTCAAAATCCTTTGTTTAATGCAGCCCAGGATATAATTTGTTTTCTTTATGGCAAGGGTGCATTGCTGGCTCATGGTCAAGTTCATGTCCACCAAGACCCCCAAGTCCTGCCAAGCTGCTTTCTAGGATATATTGGTGCCTGGGGCTTTTCCTCCTCAGGTACAGCATTGTGCAATTCTGTCAGCTCATTTCTCCAGCCTGTTGAGATCCATCTGGATGGCACCTGCTGGTGTTATCTGCCACTCTTCTCTGTTTTGTGTGCCCTTGCTGAGGGTACACTCAGCCCCTTCATCCAGACCATACCTGGAGATGTTAAAACAGCATTGGACCCAGTACTGACTTCTGGGGTACACTGCTAATTACTGGCCTCCAAAATAGTCTTCGCACATGGAGGACAGCGGGGTGATTTGAGACAGTGTGGCTTCACCAGGGGCATGTCGTGTGTGACCAACCTAGCTGCCTTCTATGATGTCCATTATTTCAGTATAAATTCAGCGTTACTGTCTGTTGTAGTTTAAACCCAGACAGACAGCTTGTTACCCACTCCCCCCCTTCTTGCCCTCCCCCTACTCCTGGGGGAACGGAGAGGAGAATCAGAAAGAATGCAACTCCCACGGGTTGAGATAAGAACAGTTTAGTAACTAAGGTATAACACAAATCACTACTGCTGCCACCAATAATAGTAATGATAAAGGAAATAACAAGGGAAGAGAATACAACACCCCATCACCAGGCGACCAATAACTTGCCCCCCAGCCCGATCAAGCACCGACCGATACCTCCTCCAACCCCGCAGGCCCTCTAGCCCCTTCCGGGTAACTCCCCAGTTACATCCAGGGCATGACGTGCTGTGGTATGGAATACCTCTTTGCTCAGTTTGGGTCAGGTGTCCTGTCTCTGCTTCCTCCCGGCTTCCCTCCTCCCTGGCAGAGCATGAGGCTCACAGAGTCCTTGGCCAAACCAAACCATCATTGGTTTTCAGCTCTGTTCCCTGCTGAAAGTCAAAACACAGCACTGCACCAGCTACCATGAAAGAGAAAAATGACTGCCACTGCTAAACCCAGGACATTATCCACCCCTTATTCCATACCATTCACGTCATGCTCCGATCCCGCATTTTCAATATACCATCGCTCTTATCTAAGTGCACTCTCATCGTAGTGCATGGACCAGTCCCTATAAAGCTGCTGAGTCCATCTGGTCCATGATGTCAGGCTCCATCTCTTGTAACAATCTTTCAGAGCACGAGAGGCTATGTGCAGTGCTCACACACATGAATAACATGGGCAATAGTGTCCATTGCTAAGTCCACCCCTCGATCATGAGTCCATCTCTATGTTGCATCTCTGCTCTGTTGGCCTTAAGGGTCATGGGCTCACCAGGCTCAAAATAATTCACTGTCCCATTCAGCAGTTTCTGCAGCTTGTTGCTGGGGACTCCATACAGCTGCCTTCCATCTCCAATGCTTCCAAAGCACTGGAGGGGCCCAGTGGACTAGATACTTGCCCATACTGTCCCACATGCCCTGCCACTCATGGCTGTCCAAGCCTTGGGGGAAACCTCTTGGTCCTCCCATATTGTTGTCTAATCCCAGACAAGACCCAGACCTGACTCTGCTTAACTTCTGAGATCAGACAAAATGGTGGTGGGTAAAACACACTCTGTGTGTGTGCCAACATGCTGATCCCCATCACAATCAGCAGGCAGGTCCCAAGGATACCCAAAGGCCATCCAAAACCTTCAGAACTCTCAAACAATGCTGCTGTACTTGTCACTGGGGCTGGTGCAGCTGCTGTGCTTGCCGGCTCTCCCACCACCAGCTTCTCTTTTCCTGAGTGCAGATCTTCCTCCTCTGCCTTGCTGGGAAATGCTGCGGGGTCTCCTGCGTCCTCCTGGGGCTCGGCGGGAGGCTTCCGGGGAATGCTCTCGGCCGTCGCGGGGCTGCGCGCGGCCGCGGGGCTCGGCTCCTCCGCCGCCTCCTCCCGCTCCTCGACCTCCCCGACCTCCTCCACCGGCAGCCGCTCCTTGCCGGCCTCGGATCCCGCTCCCGCTTGGTGCCCGGGGCCGCTCTCCCGGGCCGCTTCAGCAGCCGCCAGCTCCCGGGACAGCGCCCCCTCGGCTCCCCGCGGCCTCACGCAGCCGGAGGCGAGGGCGAGGGCCAGGACGGTGAGGAGCAGCCGGACGGCCAGGGACCAGTCCACGGCCACGTCCGTCCCTCCCTGCTGCTGGAGGCCGCCCGTATTACAAGTCATTGCCATAAAGTACAGTGAGACAGAAACCTTAGCCCAAGCACCACACTTGATAAACACTAACACAGCAAATACCGGCTGTAAGTAAGTTACAACATTCTGAAGCTGTGAGATCAAGAGGAACAACTCTGAGAGCCAATAAATCAGCATTGTGACGGTCAGATCTGTCGTTACCTCAACCCCTCGTGCCCCACGTTGGGCGCCAAAAAGAACTGTTGTAGTTTAAACCCAGACAGACAGCTTGTTACCCACTCCCCCCCTTCTTGCCCTCCCCCTACTCCTGGGGGAACGGAGAGGAGAATCAGAAAGAATGCAACTCCCACGGGTTGAGATAAGAACAGTTTAGTAACTAAGGTATAACACAAATCACTACTGCTGCCACCAATAATAGTAATGATAAAGGAAATAACAAGGGAAGAGAATACAACACCCCATCACCAGGCGACCAATAACTTGCCCCCCAGCCCGATCAAGCACCAACCGATACCTCCTCCAACCCCGCAGGCCCTCTAGCCCCTTCCGGGTAACTCCCCAGTTACATCCAGGGCATGACGTGCTGTGGTATGGAATACCTCTTTGCTCAGTTTGGGTCAGGTGTCCTGTCTCTGCTTCCTCCCGGCTTCCCTCCTCCCTGGCAGAGCATGAGGCTCACAGAGTCCTTGGCCAAACCAAACCATCATTGGTTTTCAGCTCTGTTCCCTGCTGAAAGTCAAAACACAGCACTGCACCAGCTACCATGAAAGAGAAAAATGACTGCCACTGCTAAACCCAGGACACTGTCTAAATGAATGAATTGGTGCACACTGTAACAGATTCCGTGGTTTTGGTGGCACCAAAATAATTTTAGTCACGGCACAGCAAGCTTGTGGTAAGAGCAATGACAGAAAATGCTGTGGTAACTATCACACAGTCAGCAGGTCTTTTACCAGGATTGGTATTATTATTGCTATTTCATTAACAAGCGTTATTAAGGTATGCAGAGAGTACAGATTTTGCTGAGGTGCACAAAGGGAGTCTCATCAACTCTGAATACAAATCCGCCTCATCAATTAGGAAATAAATGAGCAGAATAGAGAGACAATGCTCAGTACTTTGCAGCAGTGAACAGTGCTAGAATCATTAAGATAAACAATACATTGGTTTTACCTTAAAAGAAGAGTAGATCATAAAAATTTCATGAAGTCTGGATTTTTATAGTTTTCTGTCCATGCAGTTGAATAATAATTCTGATTTTAAGATGCATAGAATACGTAGGAAAACTTAAAAGTATTTCAAAGGGACAGACAATAAAGAAAGTTTGAGTCATCAGATACCATATACTGCAATGCAGGCTCTAGCAGAGAATTTGGTGCAGCCAGTAAATCAGACTAAGGACTCTGGACATTTTCTTTCTCCTGAACTCTTATCAGTGGCTCTCTACCTCCAACCTTTTTGGCTCAAATTTATCTTTTCACGGCCACTTTTGAAATGCTTAGAAGCATGACATTCAGTGTATTAAGGATTAAGTAAATAAAACTCCGTAATAGGTGTTTTCTGAGAAGAAATTAAAAACATTAAGCAACTTGTTGAAGATTTCCAAACACAAACAGCGTTTCCCTCATCATCACCAAGATTCTTCTCAGTTTATTGTTTAGCTGGATCCCTGATGTCCGAATATCTACCACAAAATTAAAACTCCACAACGTTAAGTATACGAGGCCAAATGCAAAAGTTAGAGAGGCTATTCTGATATGTAGCCAAAAGATGTGAAAAGGTGTAGCTATTTTGAGACACATCTGAAACATGAGCAGATCCACGGTGTTTACAGTGAATACACAGGAGAGATGTAATGACAGGAAAAAAAATGAATGTGCAAAGAATAACCTTGATAACAGAGATTCAGAAGTTGGTATTGCTTGTATTATCTGCATCAAAATTACCTCCTTCGGGACAAACTCCTTAACAACTAGGTGTGCATCCTCTACATAAACAAGACTTATCCTGTATATAAACATGGGAAAAAAAAAAAAAAAAGAGGCTGTTGAATCAGTCTGTAGACTGGAAATCAAGTACAGGGGGCAAAGACATGGTGCAAGCTGTCCACTAATTTTGCATATCAAAACAGCTGTAGATGCCATCTTACATAACACCCAGTTTATCTTAATCTTGGCCAAAGAAGTCTTCTTGTAGCTAGGCAACATCTCCGAATTACAGAGATACTCAAAAGCTAATTAAAAAATTGTAGGCCAAATATTGTTTTTATCAGAAAAAAATGCCATGACTTTTTAATTACAAATTTTTTCCAGAGACATTTTTCTTAGATTACAAACTCAGAATACAATACCTGAAGAGTATGAAAGTTTAAAAAACTGTTTTCTAAAACAATAAACTTTACTATATTTTTAAGGTTTTTTGTTTCACATGCTTTCTTTTTTACTAAAACCTCTGTAAAACATGATATATGAAATGTATAACTGAGAGAAAGTAGCAGTCATTTTACTTCAGAGTGTATTGGAGTTCAGAACATTAAAGCTCTTTACTCTTCATATTCGCTAAAAAGCAAGAGCTTACCAAAAACAAACAAAAGAGTCTCCAGTGCTGAGATATTTACAGAAACCATTTTAAAAGAAAGAGTAAGCTGTAGTCCCTTGCAAT